GGTCCATTAGAGCAGGGCTTAGAGGGGCAACATCTGCCGGCAGGCATGGCCACAGGCCCGCGCCCAGATGGTGGGGGGCTCTGGGACCCCCTGTCCATGGCCCCAGCACTGCACAGCAAGGGGAGCCCCACCAAAGAGTGGCGGGCACCGAGCCCCCATCCCACTGCCCCCCACAAAATGCTTTAGCTCAGGGACCGATCGAGGGTCCCAGTCCTGCTGCCCCTCCCCGGGGCCGAGGGTCCCCGTGCCCCTCTCCCCCCCCCGCGCAGCAGCGGTGGCAGCGGCGGTGTTAATCCTCTTCCCTCCCTGGCCAGGGGGGCTGCGGGGCCCGGGCCAGCTGCCAGGCGGGGGCTTGGGGGGGGCGATCCCCATCACCCCCCCTCCCGCTGCCACGGCCCGGGGGGGCGAGGGGGGGCACTGCCACCGCACGGCTGCGCCCTGGGGGGCTGGGGGTGCATCGGCGGGGGGCCGTGGGGCGCTGCCACCTCCCCGGTGCCCGTCTGGGGAGGAACAGGTGCCGGTGGCCGCAGCCCCCCCACGCTCGGGCTCAGCACCGCGGTGACTCAGCACCGGCGATGCCGCACGGCCGCGGCCGTGGCCGCTTGAACCCCACGGGCAGCTGAGCCGACCGCCCCCCGCCGCGGCCGGGACCCCCGGCCCGCTCCGCCGTTCCACCGCACGCAGCCGGGGGCGGGTATCGGTATTTTTAGCCGCCGCCGCAGCCTCTGGAACCGCGGTCCCCGCGCCGCCGCCATCCCCGGCACGGCGCGGTGGGCACCGACCGCTCCCGGCACCGGCGAGAGCCCCCCCCGCGCCCGTCCCGCGGCCTCGTGCCAGCGGGGTGCGGGCAGGGGTCCCCGCCAGGCTCTGCCCCTCTCCCCCCTCCCTGGCTCCAGCAGCGGAGCTGAGTCATGCGCGGCGCTGAGCCAGAGCCACGCGCACTGCGGTGCCGCGGCTGCCGGGAACCGCCGCGCCGGGGCTGGGGGCTGCAGAGGGCCGCGTGGGGCAGGGGCTGCCCGCCCACGCCGCCCAGGAGCCGCCGACAAACCCCCGCCATCGCCGGCCCTTCCCCAAATAACCGGAGCTGCCGCCGGCAGAGCTGGACCCACCGCGAGCCGCGGGGCCGCACCGTGCCCCAGCGGAGCGGGGGATGCCCGGCGGGACCCGACACGGCCGCCCACGGCTCTTAGGCCCCCTGCCCGCGTTTGGGACCGGGCAGGGACCCCCTGGGGCCCCAACGGGGACGGGTTTCCCAGCGGGATGAACTGGGGTGCCACGGTGCCAGGCGAGCCCTACGTGTCGCCACCAGCCGCACCCCGACTCCCGCACACGCCGGCACACGTGAGAGCCCGGGGGAGAACCTTGGCCCGCGGGGAGAACCGTGACACGCCGGCAGAACCCTGACCCCTTCGGGGGAACCCCGACCCCGCCAGGCACCGGCGTGTCCTGACCCCGGAGCGGGGACGCGCTGGCCGGGGCACGCGGTGCCACCCAGCCCATCCCCACCCTCCCAAACCTCCCAAACACCTTCCAAGCCCCCGGCGCAGCGCCGAGCACGCCCCGGTGTAATGACAGGGCAGCCAGGGCCTGCGGCACCCTCCGACCCGCTGCCGCCCCGACGCCGGGTGATGGACGCGCCCAGGGCCGGGAGCCTCCGGCCCGGCCGGTTTGCCGCCGGCTGGTGCCAAAAAACTAATGAAAATAAGAACTGAGCCCCGATTCCCGGCAGGCTGTGGGGAGAGGGACTGTTGCCGGGCGCCCGGCCAGGCGGGGGACGCTTACCGCTGCATTTTAATTGTCCGGCCCCGAGCTGATAATCACGGCCCCGGGCTGTGTCCGTGCCCGTCCCGCGGCGCTGCCGGGGCGCACGCAGAGGTCGTCCGGGCCCGGTCCCACGGCGCAGCCCCCGGGCCGCTCTGCCCAAACAAACGGGAGCAGAGTGAGGCCGGACGCGTGTGCTAACGCCGGGGCGGCCGTGCCACCGCGGCGGCCGAGGGCGGCACCGACAGCGGGCACCGAGAGCCGGGCGGTGCGTCGGTGCCGGCCCGGCAGCACCGCGGTGCCGGGGCGAACTGGGATGCTGCGACTGGCGGGTTCTATTTTGGGAGCCGTCCCGGTGGCTTCTCAAGTGACAAACACGCGAGGGGGGTGGCAGACAGCCCGGTGGGGGCTGAGCGCCGTGCGGAGCCGCCGCGGGGCTGCCGGGGATCTGGCAGCGGGCACGGTGGCCCGGGTGCCATCAGGGGTGGCCACTCGCCGCTGTCCCCCCCCAGGGGTCCCCCCAGTGCCACTTCCCCCCACTCCGAGCGGAGCATCCCCGCTCCCCAGCCTGCGCTGCGGTGGGCACAGGTGGGTTTGCCGGGCCCGGGCAGCCCCCAGCCCCGCACCAGCTCCATCCCCAGCCCCGCACCGGCTCCATCCCCAGCCCCGCACCGGCTCCATCCCCAGCACCCTTCCCTGTCTCCCGGCGGCAGTGCCCGTCCCGACGAGGCGAACCGGCCGCTCACGCACCGGGAGCTGTCGGCTCCCGACGGCGATGCCTGCGCGGTGCCGGCGCCCGGAACGCGGGGTGGGTGCCCGGCCGAGCAAATCCCCCCGCCCCGCTCGGCTCCCGCTAACCTAAATAACTCGGTACGGCGGCGGGAGCATGTGCAGAGAGGAGCCCTCCCCCCCGCTCCTGAAATATTAATGCCGAGCGCCGCGGGATGAGCCGAGCCGGGAGAGCCGGGGCGGGCGGGGGACACGCTCCCGCTCCCGCCCGGGACACTCTGCCCGTGCCACGCCGCCGGGCAGCGCTGTCCCCACCGTGTCCCCACAGCGTGACGGGACGGACAGTGAGGGCTCACGACACCCCCGGGACCCCGATCACACCGGGGGAGGTTTTGGGGCGGCGTTGGGGGCCGGGTCTGTGCGCTCCGACCGCGGGGGGGGACCCGCTCGGGAAGGTCCGGGCGGGAGATGGGGTTGGCTGTCCCCGGGACGGCGGGGGAGCACAGGGAAGGGGCCCGGCCCCATCCCGACACGCACGCGCCAGTGACACCACAACCGCACCGGTGACAATCCGTCCCGGTGACACCGCGGCCGTGCCGGTGACACTGCCGCCATGAGTCCGAGCACCGGGAGCGCGTCACGCTCGGTGGGTCACGGTGACAGCCGCCTGCCGCCCGGGACCGCCACGGCAGCATCCCGGGAGCGTCACCCACATCAGCACCGGCGGGACGGCACCGGCGGCACCGGCACTGCCCGACCGGCGGCGGCCCGGGCCCCGCAGGAGCCCCCAGACCGGGGATCCCCGGGTGACGCCCAGGCCCCGCTGATGCCCGGGACCGGCGGCGATGCCCGGGCCGGTGCTGCGCGGTGCCGGGACCACAGCTCCCGGCCTGCCGGTGCCGTACGGGACCGCGCCGTACCGGGGCCGCATCGTGCCGTGCCCGCGGCCCCGCGGGAGCCGCAGCCGGGCCGCAGGAACGGCCGTCGCTGAGTCAGGCCCGGCCCCGCCGCCACCGGCCCCGCGGGACCATCCGGCCCCGCCGCTCAGCCCCGGCCCCGTTCCCGGCCCGGTCGCGGCCGCTCCATCCCCGGCGGCACCGGACAGACCCCCAAAACCACTCGCGGCCGTTTCATCCCCGGAGGCCCCGCGGCCCCCCGGCCTCGCCTCTCAGGCCGTGTTCTCGGCCCGGCCCCGCCGCTCCATTCCCGGAGGCCCCGCGGCCCCCCCGGCCGGCGCCGGCGGCCGGTGCGGGGATGCGGGCGATGGCGACGGCGCTGCCCGGTCCCTCCCTGGCCCCTGGATGGTCCCGCCGCACTCACCGCTCGGCCGCGGCCGCCGCCGCTCCGCTCCCCCCGTTTCGCTGCCGCCGCTCCGGGACCGGGACCGGGACCGGGCCAGGACCGCTCGGACCCACCGCGCCTGCGCCGTCCCCCCGGCGGGCGGGGCCGGCCTTTGGACCCCGCCCATGCTGCCATGGCAACTGACGTGACCACGCCCTCTTCGACTAAGGCAACGGGCGTGGCCACGCCCCCTCCCCACCATGGAAACCATCGTGCCCTCCCCTCCCTGTCGCCATGGCAACGGGTCTGGCCACGCCCCCGTCAGCCTTGTTTCCCACACAGCGCCCCCTGGCGGCGGGCGGAGCCCCCTGCACCGCCGGGGCACACCGGGACCCACCGGAACCCTCCCGGACCCCCCGCGACCCTCCTGGACCCCCCGGAACCCCCCGGGCACTCCTGGAACCCTCTCGAACCCCCCAGGACCCCTCTGCAACCTCCCCAGGACCTCCTCGGGCTCCTCCAAAACTCCCCTCGGGACCCCCAAGCACTCCCGGGACACCGCCGGGACCACTCTAGGACTTCCCTAGAGACCCTCCGAGAGCCCCTCGTGCAGCCTTGTGACCTCTCTGGGAGCCCCCGAGCCCTCTCTGGACCTTAGAGAGCCTCAAACTATGCCGGGACAGGTGGGACCCCTCCTGTAGCCCGAGGCTCCCCCCACCTTGTGACACACCTGAGACCACAGAGCCCCCCCGACACCGCAAGCCCCCTGCATCCCCCCGTCTGTGCCTGTGCATCCGAGCAGAGGATGTACATGTGGTGGCAGGGCCAGCCCCGTGTCCCCATAGTGTCCCCCTCTGTCACCACGTCCCCAGCTGTGTCCTCATGTCCCCACACATTCCATGCCCCCCTGTGTCCCCACATCTCCATGCATGTCCCTAGGTGTGCCCTTGTGTCCCCATATAACCCCATGTCCCCCTGTGTCCCCACGTGTGTCCCCTCTGTGTCCCCATGTCCCCACGTGTGTCCCCCCTGTGTCCCCATGTCCCCACGAATGCCCCCCCCGTCCCCTCTGTGTCCCTATGTCAGGGCTCTTTCTGCTCCCAGTACCTTCCTGGGCACCACTTGTCCCCAGAGCCACGGTCATGGGGTCCCTAATCCTGTCCCCCATCCAGATCCCCCACCCTGGATCCCCCCCGGGCCCCCCAGACCCCCAAGCAGGCACAGGCCGGGCGCTGTGAACGGTCTTTAATGAGCAAACAACGGACGGCAGGTTCCTAAATTGGCCGTGTGGGACCACCCAGGGGGACACAGGACCCCCCACCAGGCACCCACCGGCCCCCAAACACCTACAGGGACCTACAGGGGGAGGGCACAGGGTGGTGGGGGGTGGGGAGTGGGGCCAGGGCACCCCCAATAGCACCAGGGGGGACGGGAACCCCTCGGGGGGGGCCACACGCACCCGGACCCCCATCAGCACCGGGGGCAGCGCTGGGGGCTCGGTGGGCGAGAGGGGCCCCAGCACAGCCTGGAACAGGTGTCAGAGGGGTGGGGACACGTGTGCAGGTGTGCTGAGGGGTTCACCTGCGCACACGCGTGTGCAAACACGCCTGGAGCGTGAGGGGTGACACAGGCGTGTGCTGGGGACACCTCGCTGGGCCCGGGCAGGGGTGACACGGGGGGACACGCGTGTGCACGCCTGTGCCAGGGCAGCTCGCTGGCCCCGTGCTCGGGCAGGGGTGTGTGTGACACCGCTCACTGCCGGGGGGGGCACGGAGAGGGGCAGGAACGGGGGGTGCGGGGATGGGGAGGTGCAGGGCTGGGGAAGGGGGGACAGGGATAGAGGGGAGGGTGAGAGGGGGCAGGAATGGGGCTGCAGGAGTGCAGGTGAGGGTCGGGCGTGGGGGAAAGGGATGGGAATGGGGGGCTGGGGTGTGGTGGGGGGTCAGGGATGGATGGTGGTGCAGGGATGGAGGTGGAGACAGGAGGACAGTGACGGGCACTGCGGTTAAGGGCGGTGATGGGGGTTAGGGATAGGGACTTGGTGATGGAGGACGGGCAGGAATGGGGTTCAGGGACGGTGATGGGGGTCAGGGATGGGGTCAGGCCAGGGGCAGGAAGGGGGGGGTCCCTGCGTCTCCCCTACGCTAGTGACACAAACCACTTCAGAGTATTTCCACGTGATGCACAAACAAGTCAAAAATTCACTGATCCAAACCCAACGTGCAAACAGAAAAGGGCCGGGGGGGCACCCGCTGCCCCCGGCCCTCCGCGGCCCCCGCGCACGGCCCCGCCGCCGGCACGGCCCCGCCGGCAGCACGGGGGCCAGGCAGGGCCCCCCGGCGAGGGGAGCCCCGCCCGAGCCGGGTCCGGGGGGCGCTGGGGGCGGCGCCCGGTCCTCAGTTGGGGGACAGGTCCCCGGCTCTACCAGATGCCGCTCGACCGGCCCCCGGGGGGAGCGAGAATCCGGGCCGAGGCTCGTTTTGGAACGTGGTCATCGATCTGAGAACCTGCCGGGCACACGGACGGACGGCGGGCGTCAGGGTGGGGGCAGCGGGGGCACGGTCCTGCAGAACCCCTCAGCCCAGCACCACCGGCAGTGGGGACAGCAGGGGCTCCGTGTCCCCCCGGCACTGCAGGGACAGGGGATGCTCCGTGTCCCTCAGCACTGCGGGGACAGGGGATGCTCCGTGTCCCCCCGGCACTGCGGGGACAGGGGATGCTCCGTGTCCCTCAGCACTGCGGGGACAGGGGATGCTCCGTGCCCTCTTGCTCCCGCCCCGGCTGTGCTGGATGCAGTGGGGGGGCACCGCCCCCGCCTCGTGCAGCCCCTCCATGTGCCAGCACGGACGTTCAGCCCCCAAGTCCCATGTCCTGCCTCGGGGGGCTGGAGCAGCTCCAGTGCCACTGGAGCATTGTCCAGGCACAGCGTGGGGAGCCGGGGCTGCCCGAGCACAGGACGCAGCTCCATCCTGCCTGGCACAGACCCCCAGACTGGCACAGACCCCCCCAGCCACTCCCCTGACCACCCCAGACCCCCGGCCAGTGCAGCCACACAACGGACAGTGCACAGAGGGAGGGAGGGGTGAGGGCTGAGGGGCTGCAGGTCCAGGGAAGGGGGCAACTCTGCTCTGCCACGGCTCCCTGCCCGGGAGAAGGGGGGCTGCACCCTGTGGGGGGGTGTGATGGGAGTGATGGGGACACCCTGAGGTGGCAGTAGGGACACCTTGGGGAGGGGGGTGACAGGACAGCCTGGGAGAAGGATGGCAGGACACCCTGGGGTGACAGTGGGAACACCCCGGGGGGGGGCGATGGGGACGCTCGGGGGTGGCAAGTGCCCGGCCAGTGCCGGACACTGCCGGATGTGGGGCTGCCGGTGAGCCCGGGGGGGCCCGAGGCCGAGGGGGCCCAAGGCCGGGGGGCCGGGCCCCTCGCTGCGGCCCTGCTCTTACCGGAGAGGCTGAAGCTGGACTCGTGGAGGTCCCTCATGCCCCCGTGTCGCGTGGCCGGCCGGGTGGGCGTATCGGCCAGGGGCGTCCCCGTCTCTTTTTTCCCAGCATGCACAACCACGGCCACGTCCCCCAGGTACGGGGTGCGATCCACACCCCGCAGCTTCAAAGTCTGCCGGGAGCGAGAGAGAGAGCGGAGAGAGCGTCAGCACCCACCGGGGGGGGCTGCGGCCGGGGCCGGGGGGGCCCGCGGTGCCGGCGGGATGAGGGGTGCCAGGGCCCTACAGCGGGGTGCGGATCGGCCGGTCGGGGAGACGGAAAGGGCTGGGGCATGCTGGGGCTGGGGAGGGGGCTGTGGTGTGGGGAGGGGGCTGCGGCTGGGGAGGAGGTTGAGGCATGGGGAGGGGGCTGCGGCTGGGGAGGGGGCACTCGGCGGGGTGCTGGGCAGGCTGAGGGGCTCCTGGTGCAGAGCAGCAGGACCGGGGGCTGGGGGAGGTGGGTGACCCTGGCAGAGCAGCCCCTCGCCTGTCCCCCCAGCAATGCCAAGCCATGCCAAGCCAAGCCATGCCACGCCAAGCCAAGCCCATGCGATACTCTGTGCCCTCCCCGCAGCCACACAGCTCCAGCCAGGCACTCCGGTGCTGGCCACCAGCTCCTTGTGACAGCGCCAGGTCCCCCCTCACAGCACCAGCACCGCCCCAGTCCCCCAGCACAGCCCCTACAGCCACGGCTCTGGGGCACAGGGTGGGCCCTGGTGCTGGGGGCTGCCAGATCTCCCGGGTGTCACGGCCGGGCAGCCCCGGCCAGGCGTGTCTGGTGCACGTGGTGCCACCGTGAGCCGTGGGGCTGCCTTGGGGGCACTCGGCAAAGGGCAGAGAGCCGGGACAGAGGGCTGGGGGGCCCTGACATTCAGCCTTGGGATGACCACGAGCCACACATGTGTTGGGACAACTGTCCCCTTGCAGTGCCAACATGCCAGCAAGGACCCAGGGAAGGGTCCTCCATCGCACACCCCCTGAGCCAGGCACGCTGTGCTCTTGTCACCTGCCCCAGCGTGGCACGGCACTGTGGTGGCACAGACCCTTCTTCCACACTGCTGGGACCACTGTGGCCACCGGCCCCTTGTCCCATCCAGCACCCCGTGTGGTGCAGCCCTGCCCCACACTGTGGCACCACTCTGGCACCGCTCTGGCACTGCTCTGCCCCGACTCCCCCGTACCTTCTCCCGCTGCACCAGCTTCTTGTAGGCGACGTCCGGGAAGGAGCGGAGGGGGCAGAACTTGCCGGTGCCCTCGGCACACATGAACACGCCGTTCTCGTAGACCACGCGCCCGCGGCTGATGGTGACCAGGGGCACCCCGTGGCACCGCATGTTCTCGTACAGGTTGATGTCCCCACCCTGCACCTGGGTGCTGGCCGAGATGGTCCTGGGCGGGGGGATGGCACGGTGACGGGAGCTGGTGGCACGGGGAGCCCCTCCCCAGCCCCCTGCCATGGGCTGCACCTACTTGGTGGCCTCGGGGTCCCAGACCACGACGTCGGCGTCGGCCCCGGGGATGATCCGGCCCTTGCGGGGGTACAGGTTGTGGATCTTGGCGGCGTTGGAGCTGGTCACGGCCACGAAGCGGTTCTCATCCATCTTACCCCCCACCTGACACAGGAGGGGGGGTGAGGACGTGCTAAGCTGTGTCCCATCCTATCCCTACAAGCCCCCACGGCACCCTAGAGGTGCTGCTGGGGCTGGGACCCTCGCCAGGACCCACTGGGGTGGCACTGGGGAGCACCTCAGCCACCAGCAAACACCCCACGGGACGTCCCACCCCAGCAGAGCCCCCCGGGCCAGCCCCGTGCCAGGGCCTGGCAGTGCCGTACCACGCCGCGCTCCCAGATGATGTTCATGCGGTCCTGCACCCCGCTGACACCGTGGGGGATCTTGGTGAAGTCCTCCTTGCCCATGGCCTTCTGCTTGGTGCTGAAGGGCCGGTGGTCCGAGGCCACGATGTTCAGCGTGTCGCTGCGGGGGGACAGGGCAGGGTGGGGGACGGCACCCCTGGGGCTGCTCGGGGCGCCCAGGGAGCCCAGAGCCCAGGGAATGGGGCACCTACACCACGGGGTGCCTGGAGACCTGGGCACCTGAGGGGCAGGGTGCCCAGGGAATGGGGTACCCATGCAGGGAGTGCCCGGGGGGCAGGGTGCCCAGGGAATGGGGCATCTGTGCACGAGGATCCCCAAAGGAATGGGACACCCGTGCAAATGGGGTCCCCAGGGAGCTCAGTGCCCAGGGAATGAGGTATCCAGGAAATGGGGCACTCATGCCATGGGGTGCCTGGAGAGCAAGGTGTCCAGGGAATGGGGCACCCAGGGAGTGGGGACCCTGGGGAGTGGGATATCTGGGGAGTGAGGTGCCCAGGAAGCTCAGTGCCTGGGGAGGAGGGTGCCCAGGGTGGGGCCCGGGAGGGGCACCCACACCCCAGGAGCTCAGCGAGTGCTTGGGAAGTGCAGCACCCACAGAGCACGTCCCCAGGGGCACACAGGTCCAGGGAGGGAGGCAGAGAGGGCTCGGTGCCCGGGACACGGGGTGCCCGAAGGATGGGGTGCCTGGAGGGCACAGCACCAAGGGAGCAGGGCAATGGGGCGATGGCACAGCCAGGCAGCCTGGCACCCGGGAGCAGGACACTGGGGGGTGTGCCGGACACCAGAAAGCCACCACGAAGCGTGGCTGGTGGGGGGGGCAGAGTCTGGCAGTGTCTGGGTGGGGCCTCACTTGGCGAGCAGGCTCATGAGGTAGGCGGAGGTGTTGGTGTCGAGGCGCAGCGGCGGCACGGTGACGTAGGCGGCGGCGTGGAACCAGTCCTGGTGGTAGTAGTGCAGCCCGGTGAGCGTGGCGTGCGCCGTGGTCGTCTCCGCGTACACCACCTTCCCTGCCGGGGCGGAGGCACAGGCGTGTGCGAGGGCACGTGTGCGAGGGCACGTGTGTGTGTGCACTGGCCATGCCCAGACCCCCATGCACCCGTCAGGCCACGAGCCCTGTGACCATGTGTGTGCTCACTTGTGTGTCCCAGGGGTGCTCACACGTGTGTCCACGTGTGTACTCACGCGTGTGTCCCGGGGGTGCTCACGTGTGTGTCCCGGGGTGCTCACACCTGTGTCCCAGGGGTGCTCACACCTGTGTCCCGGGGTGCTCACACCTGTGTCCCGTGGGTGCTCACACCTGTGTGTCCACGTGTGTACTCACGTGTGTGTCCTGAGTGTGCTCACACATGTGTGTCCACGTGTGTACTCATGTGTGTGTCCCATGGGTGCTCACACACGTGTGTCCACGTGTGTACTCACGTGTGTGTCCCATGGGTGCTCACACACGTGTGTCCACGTGTGTACTCACGTGTGTGTCCTGAGGGTGCTCACACATGTGTGTCCACGTGTGTACTCACGTGTGTGTCCTGAGGGTGCTCACATGTGTGTCCCCTGGGTGCCCGGTGGCTGCGGTTCCAGGTGTGGAACACACCTGTGCGAGGGCACGGCCCCACAGGCACACACGTGTTCCCGTGCCCACGTGTCTGTTCCCTCCCGTGTCTCCGGGTGCCCGTGTGTCTCTGCGTGTCCACAGCTCTACCATCCACGTCCACGTTCCTCCAAGCCCCCAACCTCCCCGGTGCCCACACGTGTCCCGTGTCTGTGGGTGTTTCTGTGCCCGCACAGGTGCTCCTTGCCCACACGGTCTCCGCCCGTGTCCCCTACCTTGCATCTTGGCAGCAGCGATGACGTCCCCTGCAGACATGCTGGAGACGTTCACCAGGTACACCGGGCAGTGGGTCTGTGGAGAGCGGGTCAGTGGCACCGTCCCTGTGGCACCCTGGCTCCATGGGGACCCCCCCACGGAACTGAGATGCCCACTCTCAGCCCACCCCACGCTCAGGACCACTCACCCTGTTGGCGATGGTGATGACACGGTGCGTGGCCTCGGCTTCCAGCTGCGGAGAGAGCCAGCAGTGACACGTGTGGCATGGCACAGTGGCACCCAAGGGTGGGTGGGGGACACAGTGATGGGTGGGATGTCCCAGAGCGTCCCAGCCATGACCCGTGCCACCGCCGCGGTGACGCGGTGACACCAGACATCACCCACCTCTTCGGGCCGGCTGATCTCAATGCCCTCCGGTCCCGTGATGCCCAGATCCAGCGCTTCCTTGGCTCCCTGAGGGATTTGGGGGGTCAGGGTGGGGGTTCTGCTGCCCCAGGCTGGGGGCCTATCGCACCCCCCGTCCCCCTGCGCTCACCTCAGCCACCAGCTCTCCGTTCTCGGCGTGGACGCGGGCGATGGCGCCGAAGTCGCGGCAGGCGCGCAGGACCTGGTAGAGCTCGCTGTCCCGCAGCATGTACAGGTCCTTGTAGGTCATGAACATCTGGAAGGAGTTCACCCCCTTCTCCCGCACCAGCGTCTCCATCTCTGCCTTCACCTGTGCCGGGATGGGGAGTTCAGTGTGGACCCGCTCCCCACGCGCCACGAGGGGCCCCATCGCAGGGCAGGGACAGGCACACCCCCCGGGGACACGGGATGGGGGATTTGTGGGTGATTTGGGGAGCGACAGCTGCTGAGGGGCGTGGAGGGGATTTTCTCACACCCCGGGGGGCACTCGCTCCATCCCTCCACTCCCTGCTCTGTCTGGGGGGGTCAGGGCCGGGGTCTCCCCACGGCACAGCCAGGAGCCAGGTCTGATCCCCCTCTGGCAGCTTTGGGGGGATTGCAGGGGCTGAGCGTGCTGTGGGACGTGGTCCAGGCACCAAGCCCCCGCCGCCATCCCCATGGGGGTCATGCTGCAGGCTGGGGTCCCCCCAGACCGGGACCACCATCCCTGGGCACCCTGGTCCTCCCTTTGGAGTAGCACCACCTTCCCTACACGGCGAGGGGCTCAGCCTCGCAGGGACCGACCCCCTGCCCCAGGGGAACCCCTGAGCCCCTGCCCTGCTGAGCCCGGCTCAGGGCAGCTCAAAAGGCAGCCTGGGGGCTCAGCCCACCTCCCAGGCAGCTAATGGGATCAACGGGGCTGGGAATTAGTCCCAGCAGCTGCTCCCGGGCTCCCGGAGCCGTGCCGGACTCACCTTGGGCGCCCACCAGGTGATGCCCATGTGCAGGGCGTAGTCACAGCACACCTTGGGGTCGGCCAGGCTGCGGCACTTCTCGTAGGCGTCCAGCAGCGACGTCTCCTTGTCGGGCAGGACGTGGCCGATGATCATTGTCGTGCCCCCCACCAGCGCTGCCTGCGGGGCACAGGGACCGCGGTGGGGGGGCAGGATTCACCCCCCCGCTGCCGGCACCGATCCTGCCTGGCCATGAGCCAGGGGAGCCCTCAGATGCCAGGCTGGGGTGGCCACAATTGAGAATGGCATTGCCCACAGGCAGGGAACACATTTGGGTGGCCACATTTGGGAACGGCATTGCCCACAGGCAGGGAACACATTTGGGTGGCCACATTTGGGAACGGCATTGCCCACAGGTAGGTGGGGGCCCTGGGTGCAGGCAGGGCCCCTCCACGTGTCCTTGGCCCTGCCTGCAGCTGCCCATTTGCAGCAGCACATCTGGGCACACAGCACATCTGGAGAGCCCCATCCTGTCACCGCTGGGGCACCCACTGTCCCAGCTGCACAACCCGCTGGATTTGGGGGGCCCAGCAGCCCCCGGCACAGAGCCCTGTGTGGGGTGGGGCCGCAGGGAGCCCCCCCTCTGCAGCGTGGGCGGCAGGGCAGGCGCTGTGGCACCGCCGGTGTCCCCGGCTCACCCAGCCCCGCTAATCCCCAAAGCTCCTTTGCCCATCGCCCTCACGGGAGGTGCCGGCGCGGTGCCACGAGGCGGGTGATGGCGATGGGAAGCAGGCCTGGCATGGGGTGCCTGTGGGCACTGCACTGTCCCCTGTCCCCCAGGGACTCCATCACTGAGCCCCCTGCCCAGGGACACCGGACACCCTGGGGACAGGCACGGCCAGCGCCGGCCTGGCACAATGGCTGCTCTGTGCAGGCACTGGGGACAGCGGGACAAGCTGCAGGGACAATCCTGTGCTGGCCCCTCGACACCCCCAGGCAGCGGCACCCGGTACATGGTGCCACCAACCCAGGGAGGGCAGAGGGTCCCCGAGCTGGCACAGGGTGCCACGGCTCCAGAGTGGGAGGAGAGCGCTCACAGGAAGGGGACATGATGGATGGGGACATGGGGACAGGCGGTGCCACACCACAGCACTGCTCTGGAGCTGACGCTGCCGGGGATGCCCGCGCTGCTGGGGCAGAGAGCTGCACCCCACCACACCACCAGTGCCCCGGGGAGCCCCCCCAGAGCGGGGGGCAGACCACCACAGCAGGGGCTCAGGGTGAGGGGTACCTTGGTGCCGTGGTAGAAGTCATCGACACAGGTGGCATTCATGAAGGTCTGGTGGAAGTGGGTGCTGGTGTCGATGCCGCCCGGGATGACGAGCTTGCCGGTGGCGTCGATGACCTTGGCACCGCCGGGGATCATCAGCTCGCGCCCCACTTGCTGGATGATGCCGTTCTCGATGTAGACGTCGGCCTCGAGCGTGCAGTCGTCGTTCACCACCTTCCCCCCCTTGATGAGGATCCGCATGGTGGCCGCGTTGGCCATCATGGTGCTGTGGGGCAGGGGCGGTGCCGGGGTGACCACCGGGAGCTCCCATGGCTGGGGGGGGTCACCCCGTTGCCCACCCCTGCCGGAGATGCCCCGGTGCAGGGCTCAGGCTGCACATCCTCCATGGGCCGTGTCAATGGATTATCCCGGGAAATCCGCTGAGAGGAGGGGCCCTGGCACTGAGCCGGGGGCTGCCACCCCACTGAGCCCCCTGCTCTGGTGACACTAGTCTGCACCCTGGCCAGTGCTACCCCTCCCGTGGTCCCTGCACCCAGAGCAGGGCTGCTGGACCCCATCCCTGCCCATCTCCCATTGCCCCCCCAATTCCCCCCAGCTGCTGGTGCCACGCGTGCTGAGGGGACACTGCTTGGTGTCCCCATGAGGTGGCAGCACTCATGCCTGGGGCAGGTTGCCTGCCTTGTCTCTGTGGGTGACTGGGACTGGCACAGAGAGCACTAGGACTGGCACCACCCGAGGGGGTCTCTGCCCACAGTGCCAGATCTGCTGGAGACCCCCGCGCTGCCCCAGCACTGCCTGAGCCCCCGGCAGTGAGGGGCGTCCCCAGACACGATCCATAAGTCATTTGGTGAAGGTCAAACACCATCGACCTGTTGGAGCAGGGACAGCACGTGCCAGCTGTGCCCACTCGGGGGGCATGAGGTGGGCTGGGACCCCACCAGAACCCCCAACCCAGAGACCCCACTGCAGGAAGCCCCAGGGACCCCTCCACCAGACAAAGGCCAGGGAACCCATGTGTGCAGTGTGGCACAGCCCGGTGTTGCTGGCACGATGCTGGCACCAAGCAGCCCTGTGGCAACAACCCCCGATGCCCACCCAACCTCTGTGTCCCCAGACCCCTGGACGGGCACACCAGAGCCAGCACTGAGCCACGGGGCAGAGGGTGCTGCTGGTGGGGGCACAGACCTTGTGGCGATCGGTGCCCCCACGGCCCCGCTGCTGCTCCAGTGGGTGCTGGGACCCAGGCACAGCTCTAAAGGGACAGTCCTGAGCTGTGCTGGCCCTTCCCAGTGCCCATCCCAACAGCTGCAGGGCAGCAAATGGCTTCCCAGGCCCCGGAGCTGGCGGGAGCCGTGGTGTCGTGGGGCTGGGTCAGGCTTTGCCAGCAGCTGGGCATTGCCAGAGCCACGGGCCAGAGCAGCTGCGGGGGGCGAGTGGCCGTGCCCACCAGGGACCACCACCATGCTGGGGGGCACCAGGAGCCCCTCCTGGGCCAGCTCCTGCCCTGGGGCCGTGCGGTGGCAGTGCCAGCCCTGCCGTGGGTGAGCCCGGTGCCAGCCAGCGCCTCATCCCGCTGCCCTTGCTCCAGAACAGGGAAGCAGGAGCAGCTGCCGGGGTCCTGCAGGCAGCCCCCCTCGGGAATGTCACTGGCATGCACAGCTGTGTCACTGCTGAGGGACCCTCCCTAAGCACCGAGGCGGGCTGGCAGTGACCTCGTGCAGCATGCCAGGTCACTGTGGCACGCTGGGCACTTGTCACCCCAGCCCAGTTGGTCCCACGCCCACATCTGCCCCCAGCTCTACCTCAAGTACCGAGGCAAGCCACCGCCCCACGTGAGGGCTGTGCTGGGGGGCACCCAGACCCACAGCACCACTGCCAGGGATGAGGGGAATGAGGGGGATGACGGGCACAAGGAGGATGAGGGGATCAGCCCCAGCCAGAGACCCTCCGAGTCCCTTGTCAGCCAGGGTGGGCCAAGACACCAGGGCTGAGACCCACTTCGGTGGGGTGGGACCAGAGGGGACGAGCTGGTGCCCAGAGTGCCACCACAGTGCCCACCACCCCCACGACACCCGGGGACGCCAGGGCAGGGCTGGGGCAGGCAGGAGGATACAGGAGGGTGGTGCGGGGGGGAGATGGTGCAGCACAGAGGGGGCGCGGGGGGAGGTGTCACGTCGCACCCCGAGATGAAAGCAGGTTGTGGTGACGGACGGATCTGGAGCACGGAGCGTGCGGGGAGCAGCCAGTGCTGCCGCAGCACCCACCGCCCTGAGACCCCCGGCACGGGGGGATGGGGCACAGGGGGGCTGCCGGCGGTGGGGGAAGGGGTGAGCATGGCAGAGCATGGCACAGAGGGGGCAGGGCATTGCTGGGGGCACAGGCGTGGGCTGGCCACCGTGCACAGACAAGGGCTGGCAGCTCCACACGCTGCCTGTAGCCTTGGCCACCGTGGAGCCACCCACGCCACTGCCACTGCTGTCCCCACACTGCCCTCATTCCACTGTGCCAGGCCCCTTTCCCACCCCCTCCTCAGGGACCCTTGACCACCCCCTGGACCGCCGCAGGAGAGCCCTGCTGTCCCTGTGCCATCAGTTCCCAGTCCCCGGGCCCAGCCCCAACTGCCCACTGAGGCCTCTCTGGCACAGCAGCGTCCCCAGCTCACACCAGTGCCCCCATCACCCCCAGTGCCCCTCAGCTCACCCCCAGCGCTCACACCGGTGCCCCCAGCTCACACCAAGCATCCCCGGAGGCTCTGCCCCTCCGTGCCCCAGCCCGTGCCGAAGTGCCAGCGTGGCACCAGCCCCGGTGACACCGGGGCCATCGCCCGCGCCCCGGCCAGCCGCTGCAGCGTGGCGGCACAGCCAGCATCGGCCGGCGGTGGCCGAGCTGGCGCGGTGGCCGGAGGTTTCCTGCCAGACAACAAACAGGCTCCCGCGCTGGGCAGAAACGCAGCGTCAGCGCCGGGGGGGCCACCACCATCCCGGGGACCCCCGCCCACCCCGCGCCGCAGCCCCCCGGCTCGGCCACCTCGGCAGGCGGCGGCCGCGGCGCCGCTCCCGGCACACAAAGCGGCGCGGCCGTTCGGGGGGCTCGCAGCCCCCCCAGCCCCGCCGGCTGCCGCGGGGACAGCTGTGACCCCGGCAGGACAAAGGGACCCCGGCCCGGCGGGGGCTGCCGGGGGCACCTGTTGGGGCCGGGGCGGCTGCCGGGCCCGGCCTTTGTGCCGGGGCTGCCGCATTGTGCGGCGCGGCGGGGCCGGGGGGCCCTCGCCGCCCCCCGCTTTTGTCTGCGCCGCCGAGCCCCCGGTACCCGCCCTGCCCGCGCCCACCCTGCCGGCGGGTGCCCCGACGGGACCCCGCTTTGTCAGGGCTGGGCTCGGCGACCGTCCCTCCGGTGACACCGACCCGCGACTACCGGCCGGAGGCGGTGGTGGGGTGGGCATCGCCCCCCGCCGGGAAATGTCCCGCGGGGGGTTCGCCACGGCCCCCCAGCCTTGCCCCTGCCCAGGACGGTGCCGGGGTCCCACCGACCGCCCCCCCGGCCAGGACGAGCTGCGGTGCCACCGAGCCACCGCCCCGGGAGGGAGCGGGAGAGCCGCGGAGGCCGCGATGGGCGGGCGGAGGGCCAGGGATGCTCCACCAGAGGCAGAGCGCGGGATGCTGCCGGCGGGAGGCCGGTCCTCGTCTCCGCGGGCACCTTGGCACGGCCCGGCCAGGCACGGGAGCGGCGCGGCCACGCCCGAACGAGCGAGGGGCGTTGCGGCGGGTCTCGGTGCGGGCTCCGGGCACCGCAGAGGGTCCCAGCCCCGCTCCCCGGTCCCCGTTCCTCCCCGGCGCTGCCCCCCGGGTCATTGCGGCAGGAGGCCGGGGCAGCGGGCACCGAGCCGGAGGTGCTGCCAGCCGGGGGAACCTGGCCGGGGGTCCCCGGCGGAGAGCGGGGCCGTCCCGCGGTGCGGGGCGCCGGGCTGGGCGCAGCCCCGGTGCGGGCCGGGCCCGGGCGAGGCGCGGGGCGGTGCTGCTGCGGCGGGTCCCGGTGCGGGGTCCGGGGGACGCGGGGGGTCCCAGTGTGAGGTCCGGGGGGCGCGGGGGGGTCTCGGCCCCGCTGGCCCGCGGCGGCCCCGCAGACAAAGCCCGGGGCCGCCCAGCACAAAGGATGCTCCGAGCCGGGGCGGGGCCGCCCGGGAGCCCCGGCGGAACAATGGGCCGGGCCCGGCGGGACCCCCGCCACCCCCCGCCCGCCGCGCCCCCGCCGCCCCGCGGTCCCCGCTCCGCCGCGCCCCGCGCACCTGCTGCTCCGCTCCCGGTCGCGACACGGCGCCGACGAGGGAGCCTTGCCCGCTCGGGGCGGAGCAGCCGTCCCCGGCGCCACACCCCACCGAGGCGAGCCCCTCGCGCTGTCGCGACACCATCGCCCTGTCGCGACAGGTGACTCGCCATCGGCGGGCGGCGGCCACACACAACCTTTCTGCCCCGCGATACCCCGGCCAGGGGTGCCGCGATACTGCCCTCCGTCCTCGCCTACAGCAACACACGCGCATGTCGAGATACACGCACCTGTCGCGATCGTCCCGCCCGCCGCGGTAACGAGTCAGGTCCCGCCGGTGCGGGAAGCCCCGCACCCATCCCGGCCCGGCCCCCCGGCCCCGCCCGGCCCCGCGGTACCTCCCGCTCCCGGTGCCGCTCCCGGTGCCGCTCCCGGTGCCGCTCCGGCCGCGATCGCCGCTCACCCCAACCTGCGCCGCGGGGGCGGGGCCTCGCCCCCCTCGGCCAATCGCGGCTCTCTCTGGCCGGCGGGGGCGGGGCCGAGCCCCCAGCAGGGTGGGCTGCGCGCGGCATGACTGACAGGCGGAGGGGGCGTGGCTCGATCCCGCGGCCCCGCCCCCCGCTCCCCGCACGCGCCGTTGCCGTGGTGACGGAGCGCGCGGGGCGACCCCGGTGACCCCCCCCGGGAGCCCCCCGGGAGCCCCCCGGGACCCCACACGGCCCCTGCCCACAGCCCATCGCCCCCGGAGCGACCTCCCCCAGGGCATCGCCCCGGAGCCCCCCATGGCACCCGGTGGCCCCCCCATAGTCCCCTGAACAGCCCCCCATAGTAGCCCACGGCAACCCCCACCACAGATCCCTCCTATGGCACCTAACGGTCCCCCATGGCCCCTCGACATCCCCAGAGCATCACATCGCTCCCCGTGGCCCCCCCCCGACATCCCCATGTGCCCCTCCCAGCACAGCCCAGTAACACCCAGGGGTTCCCAGTGCAGCCTTCACAGCCCAGTTGTACCCAACACAGTCCAGTAACACCCAGTAGTGCCCAGCACAGCCTGGCAGACCCCTCAGCACTCAGCACAGCCCAGCTACAGCCAGTGATGACCAGTAACATCCAGGATTTCCCACTAGCACCCAGCAGTGCCCAGCACAGCCCATCTCGGCAGCCTCGGGCTCCCCATGCTGGGGACGGGACACAGGACACGCTGGTGCTGTTCCCACCCTGTCCCCTGTGAGCAGCCCCAGGGACTGGTGGCACCGGGCACGTGGTGTGCTGGATGTGGCCCTTGGCACCCGTGGGGTCGGAGCTGGTGCAGCGCTGGGGACACGAGGCTGAGGGACCTGCTGCCCCATCCCAATCCCTGTCCCACCCCATCCCTGCTGTGCCACCCTGTCCTCGGGCACTGCCCAGCTCTGCCAGGTCCTGTCCCCTGAGCACTTTGGTGGCTCCTGGGCTGGGCTGTCTCCCCTGAATTAGAGGGCACTGGGCACACACGTTCAGCTCTCGTCTGCCAGGAACCCCGGGCCCTTCCCACAGAGCTGCCCCAGCCCGTGGCACTGCCAGGGGCTCTTCCTACCTTGGGGCAGGATGTGAAATTTGTCCTTGTCAGGTCCCTGCTGGTTCCTTCTCCAGCCAGGCTCCGTCCCAGAGCAGCAGCACCCATGGGCATAGGGACTGGTCCTTGAATGTTTGGTCATCATAGAGTCACAGATTTGGATGGGAAGAGACCTCAGAGCTCATCCCATTTCTCCTCCTGCCATGGGCAGGGACACCTCCCACCAGCCCAGGTTGCTCCAAGCCCCGTCCAACCTGGCCTTGGACACTTCCAGGGATCCAGGGGCAGCCACAGCTGCTCTGGGCAGCCTGTGCCAGGGCCTCCACTCTCCCAGCAAAGAATTCCTTCCCAGTCTCCCATCTCTCCCTGCCCTCTGGCAGTGGGAAGCCATTCCCTGTGTCCTGTCCCTCCATACCTTGTCCCCAGTCCCTCTCCAGCTCTCCTGGAGCCCCTTTAGGCTCTGGAAGGGGCTCCAAGGTCTCCCTGGAGCCTTCCCTTCCCCAGCTGAGCCCCCCCAGCTCTCCCAGCCTGGCTCCAGAGCAGAGGGGCTCCAGCCCTGGCAGCATCTCCACGGCCTCCTCTGGACTCTCTGCAGCAGCTCCACGTCCTTGTGCTGCTGTTGGGAACCTCGTTAAGATCTGATGATTAGAGCTGCCTGTGCCCAAATTCAGGTGCAAACAAGACCCATGTGCTGAAATCAACAGTATGGATTTTATTTAACAATAAATATAAAGCAGAGAGATAGAAAGAAATAGAAAAGGGGGGAGAGAGAGAGGGAAAGAGAGAGAGAGTCCCACCCATAGATCCAGCCATGTCCCCTTGGTTCTTCTTCACCCTGGGCTTCTCGGTGGTGGGATGGAGGCCCCAGTTCATAGCTCTGTGCAGAAGGTGGGTCTGGCTGGATAATCCACAAAGCCCACCCTCGACTTTCTAATCTCACTGTTTATGCACTGTTTGTTAGCAAACAAAGGAATTAGTGTTCATTGGCTACAACTTACATAGTTCTCTTATTAATTAGTATTCTATCTTTTATTGGTTAAATGATTCTCTCTCTTTTCATGCTAATTACAATGAATGCTCAGTCTCTCTCTTCCTTTGGGTTGGTGGGTTTCTTGGGTTGGTGGTCCATGAGTTGCTGGTCATGATCTGCCCCTGCTGGATTTACCTTTTACTCAGCTGGAGCTGATTTCTGCACAATTGCTGAGCTGGTTTTAGTGGTTTCTTCCTTATCTTGGGGGTTCTGCCAAATGTCCTTGTGGCCATAAATTCTGTGTTCTTTGTATCCACTCTCAGCGACACATCCTTCTTCCCAAGCTTTGTTAACTTCCTTCTAGACCTGAGACCACTGAATTCACCTTCCCAGCACCCGGACCACAGAACTGTGCTCTTTAATTCCCAACAGACCCCCGAGCTGGAGGCAGCTCTGCAGGGGGGTCTCAGCTGAGGGGGCAGAGGGGCAGATCCCCCCTCCCCTGCTGCCCACACTGTGGGATCAGCCCGGGGCACGGGGGGTTTTTGGGACAGGTCAGATCGAGCCTCTCACTCACCAGCACCCTGAGTCCTTCTCCTCAGGGCTGCTCTCCGTCCGCTCATCCCCAGCCTGGACTGATCCTGGGGATTGCCCCTCCCTGGTGCAGCACCAGCACTTGGCCTTGTCCTTTGACAGCCCTGTGGCACCTGCTCACACCACCCCCTGCAGGTCCCCGAGCCACTGTCACCCCCGTCACACCCACCACTGCCCACCCCCTGTCCCCCCACCAACCCCAGGGGGTCCCCTGGGTCGTGCTCCAGCCCCCAACACCTTTGGGGCCGGCACAGGGACTGGGGGTCCCCAGGAGTCCCACCATTCCCCTGGCACAGGGACTGGGGGTCCCCAGGAGTCCCACCATTGCCCTGGCACAGGGACGGGGGGTCCCCAGGAGTCCCACCATTCCCCTGGCACAGGGACGGGGGGTCCCCAGGAGTCCCACCATTGCCCTGGCACAGGGACTGGGGGTCCCCAGGAGTCCCACCATTGCCCTGGCACAGGGATGGGGGGTCCCCAGGAGTCCCACCACTGCCCTGGTGCTGCCCGGCTGGAGGGGAAGCTGAGGCAGGAGCTGTGTGGGGCAGTTTCCTGACCCACAGCTCAGGGGGCAGAAATGGGGAGTCCCACTGGGCTGGGGCCTCTGCACCCCCACACCTCGGCCCAGGGCTGCACAAGCAAAGCCCCCAGTGCCCCGGGGAGCTGGGCTCGGCCCACAGCCCTCACACCCAGAACTGGGACTCCACTGCCCCAAGACCCCATCAGGACCTTGTCAGGACCTCGTCATGTCTGGGCTGGAACCCCACTGTTCACCCACACTCCACCGTCCCCTGGACCCCACCACCTGCTGAGACCTAAGTGCCCACTGGGACCCCACCATCTGCCAGGACCCCATCCACTGCCCACCAGGACCCCAGTTCCCACTGGAACTGCGCCATTGCCTGGATCCCACCACCCACTGGGACCCCACTGCCCTCCAGGACCCCAGTCACCTGGACCCCACCACCTGCCAGGGCTCCACCACCATCTGGATCCCACCACTGGTGCGGGGATCCTCCCACCCGCTGGGACCCCTTTGTCCTCTGGGACCCCACCACGAGCACTGGGACCCCACTATTTGTGCTGGGATCCTACCACTCATTAGGACCACAGTCACCAGGATCCAAGCACCAGTCTTGGAACCCCACCACTGCCTGAACCCCACCCCCCTTGGGAGCCCACCACCTGTACTAGTAGCCCCCTGCCCACTGGGACCACTCCTTCTGGGATCCTACCACCCCTTGGGACCCATCATCTGCTGGGATCACACCATCACCTGGCCTTCACCATCTGCACTAGGATCCCACTGCTCTCCAGGGCCATGGCAATAGTGCTGGGATCTCACCACCATTGGGATCCCACCATCACTGGGACCCCACTGCCCACCAGGACCCCAAAGCCACCACAATCCCAGCACCTGCCAGGGCCCCACCATCATCTGGATCCCACCAGCACTGCGGGGATCCCCCCCATCCCAGGGTCCCCCCACCCTGCCACTCACAGACCACACGACCACACGTAAGGGTTTTTTTTTTTTTCCTCTTTTTTTTTTCCTCCTCTTTTTTTTCCTCTTTTTTTTTTTGCACAAAACAGGACATTTATTCAAGTGTTCTCCAGCACAAGTACATTAGAAAGGAGCTTGTCTGTATTATACTCTTCTGGGCACCAAAGAAAAAGAAAAGGAGGATGGGATGGAAGCGGGACGGACAGACTTTCTACATCTGCTGCACGCATTGACCTTTATTAGTTCAGAACAGCTATGTCACGAGCAATACTCACACAGATACAACAGCGCCGGGCGCCCGCGGCACCTCCGGCCGTGAAATGCACAGTTCAGCGGCAATAAATAGAGAAGCGACCCTAAAAAAACAAACCAACAAAAAAACAGGGGCAACGAACCGAGAGAGAAGTAGAAAATAAACCGGGGGGGGGGGGTTGGTGGGTGGGGTTTTGGGCCTGGGGGGGGCGGGAGAAGGGGAGGGAGAGCAGCCGGGGCGGCCGCGGCGGCGCCGGGAATGTGGCGGCGGAGCCAAATCAAAGGGAGGAAGGAGGGTACCAGCTCTACGCGCGTATTCCTTGGGATGATGAGTACATGATTCCCACAAATAGTTAAGCGTCAGCTACTTCAATGTCTAGGCTAAAACACATGAAATCTCTCGTTTAGTTTTCAAGTACAAAGTTAAAATGCCTTTTTCTTTTTTGTTTTTTTTTTTTAATAATAATATATAAGAGTAAAATAATAGTGCTCTTTGAAACTCCACTACGAGAAACAAAACAGTCATTGTCCAGACAGCAGACTTAATTTAACAATATATATTTTTAATAAAATGTTTTAGC